GTATATGTGGCATGTGCAATTTGAGGCACTGCAGATGCGTCTCCAGCACCTCATACCACACATGTATGCTTGTCTGGATGTGCTCTCTGTGTTTATTTTGTGAATCATGTGTAGTCATTTGGAAAACTAACAGTGCTAACATTGCACAGTACCCCGTGGCTCACTGGTCAAGAATCTTGCAACACTCTGGTTGAGAATAACTGCCCTAAACCATCAAGGCACATTTGGCTCTCTTCCAATGTGCAACAAGATGGTGAAAGCATAGGGTGCTCTTCTACTTGAAGCCTCCATTTTAAAGCCTCTTCCACCAGGAAGCTTCTGGAATATTACAACTAAGTAATGCATGAGGAGGATGCCACCAAGGTCAGATTACACAAATAACAGTGGTTGCTGCTGGGTCTATGCTTTTACAGGCTTGAATAGCACAGCACCTTCTTCCTTCTTTCCTCCCTGATTAGTCTCCACTCTGAAGTCCTGAGAGTCCTATTTCTCAGTCTACAATGCTATAATATAGGCCTGTAGACCTGTTAAGTACATTGAGTAAAACTGGCCTTTGCAAATAGAGTCATTCATTAAAACACATCTGAAGGAGTAACAATATGTGATTTCAAAATCTGATACCTACTATTTTATATCCCTGTTCGGTATCACTACTATTTAATATCCCTGTTCAGTATCAACACGTATTTAGTAACGTGTGCCCAAATGTCATTAGACTGCAAAGACAATATACATGTAAGTGATTTTAAGCCAGAACATCTTCTATGAAAATGTACAAGGAAATAACCAATTTTTAAATCTGATACAGCTTTGGCAGGAGAAACAAAGTTAGGAATCACAATATACAGTATTATTAACTCCTAATATATACAACTAGGTATGTGTATCCTGTTGAAATGGGATGCTAGAACATGCACCAGTGGATAAAGTGCTTTCAAAATGCTACGTACTCTCTCCTGAAAAATTATGTCAAAAAGTGTTAATTATTTAAGTTTGGCATAGAAGACAGCAAACACCCAGTGTAAGAAACCATTCAGTACAAGCACTTGCTATAGCCTATACAGCTATTTCCCCAGTATAGCTCCAAACACCACACACCTTATAATCATATACACTAGTGAGAAAGACTGAATCAAGAGCCAGGACCTCTTCCACTTACTCAAAAGTATAACTCTGCCAAAGTCAATTAAATTACATAAAACTCTTAAGGGAAGAACAAGGCCCAAAAGACTTTGGTTTTGCAGTGTTTCAACATAAGCAGGAAAAAAATCAATAATAAAGAAATCAGGGAAGTCTAGGATAAAATATTATATGGCATATGACAGCATTTTATTGTCAGCACATTTTATGAGTGTTGAGTTTTTATAACATTTCAGTACAGTAGCTAAACTCTGAACTCTATTACTACTAAACTTTTTCCTGAGAAGTTTCAAGTATATACATCTTAAAATGTTTAATGGAAGATTTCAAAAGGATACTATTCAGGTGCCTATAACAAGGATGTTTTGAAGGATGGCTCCATCATGTTTTTACATCACCTCTACCATGGTTTTAAATTGCCTTATTGCATATGATTTCATGAATTTCCTCCTTCTCTCTTTCTTTAATGTAACATATCTCAAAGATGTACCTATCATGATATAGGCCTTTTTTATGCTTTTACTTACAAGTAAATAGCCACAAGGTAAGATAAACCATAAAAAAGAGTTATGTACAGCAGTGTTTACAAGCATTAACCCACTGTATCTCTCTGGTACACTGGCATTGATTTGGAATGTATCACTTGACAGAAATATAGTTATGCTGCAAAGAACCTGAGAGGTTCATATAGATCAATGTCAAATGATCAAAACTCTACCATTGTGCTAATAGAAAAGCCCCAAATTAATTTTCTAACTCTTGCAATTATGCTTATGTCATTAGTAATCAGGACCTTCTAGTAGTTACTCAAAGCTTCAAACTGCCATATTTTATCACAAACAACAGACAGCTTTTCCACCAAAAATCAGAACCCCCACCTTGCAAACTGGGGTATTTTTTTAAGTGGGGAAGTCAATTTCTTCACTATAAAAAGAAACATGCTTCGAGACACTGTGATGTGGCTGTCAAGATGGCTGCCACTTTTGTTTGTTTCAGCAAGATGAAGGAGGAAGTCTTGTGTTAACTCTCTCACAGCCATAACTATTGGCTGAGCCCTGTAACTTGTGTCTGAAACAGCAAGTGAGCTGCTGGTAGTCTTGATGAGGCTTGTGATGTGGAAATAACATTTTATTTATGGGAACATATGTAAAGAATGGCTTAAAGAACTAACCATCTTGCTACTTCCCATGAAAGAGTCTGGGGCCTAACCTTGTGTGACAGAGTAAAGCCTCCTAGAAATAGAGTATTCAGGAAGCGTGACATCCCAGGAGTCTGTATGAGGCAGCCAACACCAGGAAAGTCCTGCTGTATCCAGACTATCTCCTGGGATGCCACACTTCCTGGACAGTATGTCAGGGGTCAGCAATGTTTTTGGGTAGAGTGCCAAAAACACCCGCAACCTCGATTTGTAAGATATTGACGTGCCAGGGGTGGGTGGCAGGGGAGTAGGCCTGTGCGAATAGGGAACTATTCGATTTGGGTTTGGATTTGGCTGATTTGGATGCCAGAAATTTGATTTGGAGCTCCAAATTGGTTTCCTGCTTCCATTCGGCCGAATGGTCTCCGAAGTTTTGGAGCCAATTTGGAGATTCAGCCACAGTGTATCATGGGGAATCAATATCTATAACTTTTTGTTTTTTGTCCAATTTGGATGACACTTTCAGAGATGGTAGCCTCTGCTGAGCGCATGAAGCCTGCCAAGTTTCAAGGAGATAGTTAGCACAGATGCACAGGAGTTTGGGAGTAACTGCACCCCAAATTCTTGAAAGCAAAACTCATGTCACATGCAGGTGTTAAGCCACAGTGGGGTCAAAACTGCAGGGGTAGTAGCCCCTGCTGGGGCCACAAAATCTGCCAAGTTTCAAGATGATAGGTGCACAGGTTTGGGGGAAATTGTGCCTCAAGCTGCTGACAGGCAAAACCCGTGACATAGATGACCCTGTGTGTGTTAAGGTGCAATGGGGTGAAAACTTCAGGGATCCTAGCCCCTGGTGAGGCCACAAAGCCTGCCAAGTTTCAAGGAGATAGGTGCAGGGGTTTGGGGGAAACTGTACCTCAAGCTGCAGACAAGCAGAACTTGTGACACGGGTGACACCGTGTGTGTTAAGGCACAGCAGGGTGAAAGCGGCAGGCCTGCTAGCCCCTGCTGAGGCCACAAAGTCTGCCAGCTGTCAAGGAGATAGTGGCAGGGGGTCTGGGGCCCTGCACCCCTAGCTGCTGACAGGCAAAACTCGTGACATGGGTGCTTGTGCAACTGCCTGTGTCTGTGTTGGAGCAGAAACAGTTCAGCTCTGTATTATTTCCTCTCCTTAGTCTGTGGTTTTGTAGGTGTTAATTCTTGCTTGTTAACTCATTACATTTGCTAGCTACTGTGTATTGAGCTGGTCCCTGAGTGAATCATGATTGATTGGTAACACAGTAGCTTAGCAGCCAGGCCTGCAGTAGCTTCACGCCCCCCACTTCCCTCCCCCCCATGCTCCAAGACAGACACGGTTTGTCACGAGTTTTACCTGTCAGCAGCTAGAGATGCAGGGCCACAGAAACCAGAAGCTCCTGCACCTATCTCCTTGACAGCTGGAAGACATTGTGGCTTCACCAAGGGCTAGCAGGCCAAATCTTTTCCGAATCAATTCAGAAAGCCAAAAGCTTCCTACAATTCAATTCAGATTTGTAGATCCAGCCTCTGAACCATCTGAATCATCTCCAAATCCGAATCATGATCCAAAGCTTTGCACAGCCCTACAGGGGAGCCACGAGGGGCCAATCCTTGTTGTGGCAGCACAGTTCCAACTCCTTCCCTGCTATCTGCTCTGAGGCACATGTGCCAAGAAAATGGCTTTGTGTGCCATGCTCTAACACCCGCACCGAGGGTTGCCTACCCCTGCTCTGTGTGCTCAGGAACACTTACTCTATGCCACACAGTCATCCATGACTGGAAAAAATCTTTTTTCTACATACTTTATTTGGGGTTGTGTTGTATGCAGGAAAATATGGTAGCTCTTTTTGACAATGCTCTTACCCTTCTGAGACTGTATGCTAATTATGTAGAAAATAGATCTCCAATATTCTTTCTTTATTTCTCAGTGTAGGCTCAGTTTTGCAAATACAAAGCACTCTAGGCCTCAAAGCATTTGAATACTTAAGTATTGTTTTTTTCTTAAGTATGTGATTATCCCAAGGATTTCATTGAAATTATACACATGCTTGAAATTATGCACATACTTGAATGCTTTGTCGGGCAAAGGCAAGATTGCTCAGTATTCTCCAAGCCAAAGCTCTGTCTGAGCTTCAGGTCAAAATCAAATCTTCTTTTGCTCAGCTTACATTAGCCCTCTTGAGCACATATTACTGTGACCAGCCCATCTTTGCATACTGGAACTCTTCCATCCAAAAGTAGCAAATAAAACCTGGAAGAGTGAGCCATGTCAAAATATCCCAAAGAAAAGCAGAAAGTATATAGCCCAAAAAGGATAAAATAGCTTTCCCTAAAAACCAAGGTATTTGGACTAGTAAACAAAACCAGTAAACTATTATATTAAATGTAGATTTAAGCTATAATATCTGGATTTAGAGGTTACAGCTAATATTTAGTGCTTTGATTTACAGCTACCTTTAGGTACAGTAATTCACAATTAATATGTCATTATAATTTTAATTTCACATTATATTTCCCAGAATTCCAAAATGGGATATTGCTGGTTTATAATTTCTTCTCTGTAAAAGTGCCTGTTTTAAAATACCTCATAAGTCATATGAAAGAAATATGCAGATGCACAGCATCAGATGGCATATATCTGACATTTGCATTCTTTTCGACAGTTACTAACAATAATACCCCATGTAATTTAAGAATTACTTACCTGTAAATCCAGGTGCACAAATGCATGTAGCATTCAGACCTTCACTGTTACATGTGCCACCATTATGACAGCTAATATTAACACAGGGATCTTTGTATAGTTCACAGTGCCTTCCTAAGAAGAAATAATAATGAGTGTTGTTAACATTACATATATTTCTGATCAGTAAAAAATCAGTTTGTGGGAAGTCTTTATCATATGAAGCAAGGACAATGATTAGTATCATCAAAGCTTGATAGCCGTTCTCTTTGACAGTCAGATAAATCACAGATAAGTCAGTGAAATCAATCAAGTTAGGCCTTTCTAAATCCAATGCAAGATAAGACTTATATCTTCATTACTGAAGAAAGGTTAACACTGCTCTTCAATCAGGGGTCCAGTTTGTGTTTGTCTACATGACAAAATACAGAGCTGTACAATGATACCCCATCCCAGCTAGCTTGTGTACTAGTCTACATGGAACACAGCAGTGGCATGCAGAGATACCCAAGCTAACTCTGCATGCTCTACCTCTATAACCTAAGATAGATCAGCCCTATTAGCATAGTGCTGCACTCAGGCTTAAAACACTTAGTTCTTAGCAATGCTAATTAGTCCAGGTGCAGTGCCATGCTAACATAGCTACACTGCCTCTGGTTTCAGAGCTAGTGCATGTAGACCTAGCTGGGGTGTCCAAGTGGTGCAACCTTCACATGCCCTTTCTGTTTGCAGACCCTGGTAGACATGGAGTTTCTGTAAATATCCAGTAATATAGCAAAATACAATTTGGTAAGTTTTGTAATGTTCTTCAATGGAAAAAATGGTCATTAATTTCAGGCTGGCTTCCAGTTAACATGAAAAAAAATGTATGCGTTTATTAGTAAGCCTCCTGTCTCCTTTTCTTGGGAACTCTGAAGCAATATGGTTTATCAATCCATTAACAACAGGATCAATTTTATCCAAACATACATTAAAATAGATGTTGCTGCCAGGGCCATCCCAGGGGGGTGGGGGGATAAGGGGGTGTGAATCGGGGCAACTGCCCCAGGCTCTGCACCTTGTGGGGCCCCCACATACAGTACTGTACAGGCCTCACTGTGGCTGCCGTGCACCATCAGCTTTGCTGTGGCTGCCACACACCTCCAGCTGCACCGTGGCCACCACATACCGCTGGCTCCATGCTCTGGATGCTCACCACACCTCCCCCTTCCCCACTCTGGCCACTA